TATATTATATACATAGCTTGATCTACAACCTAGCGATAAAAAAAACCCTTTTATTTATTTTGTTGTAAATAGAAACAGTGTAGAAATTAATGCTCTATGCATTCATGATATTGCTAGAAATTACTGTACAAGTCGAATATTGACTTTCAAATAAACCATGATTAAACCAGCAAAGCCTACCTTTCAGAACAGGACTGTCACGGGACGTAGGCGTCCACGTTCTCCCGACAGATTCTTTCGCCGGTGTACTAGTAGCCGCGGGCGACCAGACGCCTTTTGGTTTATTACTGGATGTAAAGGTTGCATTGAACTGTTTTATATTTCCGCCAGCGTCTGGGGAATCTTCGCATGTCCGGTGAACCTGGGTTGTAGTTGTCGTTTTCTTGTAGGTGGTCATTTGAGCTGGTTCCGGCTCGGCAATTGGCTTGTGGGAGGAAGACCAAACTGTTGGCTTTATGCCAGGGGCTATCGTAGAGGGTTGAAAACGTATACTATGAAATCCTGCATAAAAAAAAAAAAAGAAAACCAATTTAAAATAATAATAATAATCAATAATAATTGATCGATCTAAATTAAACAATCAAATTAACAAGCAGAACAGTAAATTCATTTCATATTCTCTTCATTATCTTAATCACCAACTCATGCATACTTGCAGAGGTAGTTAAGTAACCAATATTCTTTTACAGCGTGGTGGTCTAAATATACCTAAGAAAGACGTAATGATATTCTTAAACCTTTCATTCAAATAGCATTGGAGAATATGATCCAGAAATTCGAAATAAAGAGAGCCATGGGAGGGTCTAGTCACCTCAATTCCACCACTTATGGTTGAGGCAGAGGTAAGACAAATTATGATTATGGCACCTCCACATAACCGGAAATGGCACTCGCTGACTTAAATTTGAATATAATTTTCCTTGAATCCACCACTGGATTAAATGATGTTTGTTAGGTTGGAGCTGTTTTGTTTCGATTGAGTGTTGCTTCATTTATTCCTTGAAAATACATGGTCTATAACCAGACTTAGTAGAAAAATGATGTCATCATCAACATAAATTAAAAAGCAGTTTTAAACGCTCACCTTTAGGATTTGAATTACTGGTCTGTGGTCTACCTCCGAAGACTTTCCGTTCTGTAGTCATTTCAGTAGATTTCTTGTTATCGATGTCCTGGGTCAAAGTTCTAGTTGTTGTCTTCTCTGTTTTGTCACCATCTGTGACGGTTTGTGTTACCGTCCTCTGCATTACTGACGATGAATTAACTAAGAAATGACGTGGTAAACAAATTAAAAGAAATACAAAAAAAAGAGTGATGCGAACTCTTGAAGATTCGTTATTACCATGAATGTATATACAAACACAGGCCACTATAGTTAAAGACCCTTCTAATTACAGACCATTTTTCTGTGGTCCCAAATTAACAAATGTCTTTTATATTTGTTACTCTACTTAGAGACCAAAGCTACTAAAGGCCACGGAAACCCCGGCCCAAAAAGTGATTTTGAATTGGATGGAGCCTGTATATATATGGCTATGCCAATAAGATAATACTAACTTCGTATGTTTTTAAACATAGGCAAGCACTGGGAAAAAAATTGATCTATAATTATCATATTATGTACAATGACCTATACACGCTTCTACCTTTGATATACCAATTATTAAAAGGAATCGGTACCGGCAGTAATTTATTTTCAATTCTTAAAGTCTATTCTATTGACGTCATCGACAAGGAGGCGCTATTTGCTTTCAAGATTTGACCTGTCCCATAATGAGATATTGCAATCGTTTTATTAAACTGTGTGATAGTTGGGTACATCAATAAAACACTTAGGGCCTTAAAGAATGCCGTAACTATTTAACACAGCACTTACCCGCGGGAATGATTTTAGGGGTGATCTCAATCTTGGCCGTCTTACGAACTGGTGACGTCACTGATTGTACCTTCTCTGCGCCCATCGCTGAAGCAAGTTTTCTATGAAGGCGGTGTAAAATTAAATAATGAATTATAGATGCCGAACTAAATGAAAAAATTTCTTAACAATAGTTCATTGTTTGCAGATGTGTAAAATTGTTCATATAGGCCTAGTATTCAAATACTTTTACCGGTATGTGGCGAACTAAGACATTAGGATCTACGTAAAATAAATGTACATTACAAAATGGTCATAGGCCTAATTACAAAATAAACCATCATTATTATTAAGCCTATTATTATTTTTAAGTGGGACATATAGTTATAACTGATAGGCCTATGGTATAAAAAAACTGTTATTGACTACCCTGTTGTATCATGGCCCTAAAAAATTAGTGTATCAAGGACAAATTCCTTGCATATAAATTGATAAATTTATTAGGCTCAACAATTTATTTTATTCATTGCTTATTTAGGATGTCATTAAGATACACAGAGATCATCAATCAGCTTCAAAATATATATCTTAGGCCTAAAGAGGGCAGCTATCGTATCAAATAAAATACTGTATTACACAGCTTTATTATTATTTTTTTTCTAAACCATACTTGGAGCGTGACCCTTCCGGCTTTCCGACAAATTCAGGTGATATTCAGGGCGTTCTTAAATATAAAAAAAAATACAATACGTTATAAACGGAATCAGATAGTGGAGATTTCAGTAGTCAGAAGAATTCTGTGCCCTCACATGATTAGCACCCAAGGCCCAGGGATCTGGAGGCAAGCGTCCTAACCACCGCCACGATACACCTCCACGACACTGCAAGCAACTCGACTGGAGAAATCAGTGCCCCATGTGCTAGTTTACTTTACACACAGTGATCTCACACAGATGGGCACCGTGATGCTAATGACCTAATTAATCCAAATATCAGTTTAAGGAAATTAATTGGATTTTATTACTATATTATATTTTATTTTACCCCTTTTAATGATGCGCTGAAAAATATTTGCAGCACAAAAATTATGTAAGTATATTAAGTGTTGAGTTTTGGAATTTCTTTGATGATATCTGGCAACTTCAGGATGATGTGTACTGAAGTACAGAGAGTATCCTTTTAAAATCAGAGTCATGAGTGTGTTCATGGTTGTACATTTTTTGATCACCGTCATCAGTGTAACCACAGGGTTATATAGGGTCTGTGGTAGAGGGTCATGAAAAAGCGCCAGGTGATTTTTAAATATTGTATGTATTATGTAATATGGCAATAAGTATATATTATTATTAATATTAAAAACATTGTATAGAAGTGAATATTAGATTACGTTGTCTCGTCTTCAGAATGTCCGAGGGGGTGTGCACCTTCCCCTCCACTTCACGTTCGGTCATTAATTATTGTTTTAGTTTCTTTGTGGATAAAAAGCGCCTTGAGACGGCTTCTACTGTGGAAAGCTCTATACAAGAACGTGACCATTGACCATCATGTTACATCATTTTCGTTCATTGTGCTATCACTGCATGAGAGATATTTCTTGAAAATACATGGCACTTAAAGGGCAAGGGTCATGAAAAAGGGCCTGGGTCAAACAATATGTTGTACCTAAACCAAACTTACAATAAACGGGTTGCAATGATTTTCTAATGAGCTTTGATATCAGAGTGTCGTGTCGAGCTAGCCGCCGCCAAGCACCGATCGTGATGTGTTTTATAGGGGTTTACAGGCATTTAGGCCTAGTATATGATTTATAATCAAGATTTCCTTACCTTTTCACCTCTAAAACTAGCGAATCTGTAGCATTTTCGACGTGCGTCATTGCGTCGTCACGCGATGCGTTTGTGACTGATTTTCCGTTAATCTTCACGAGTATATCCCCTTCTTGGAGTTTAGCATTATAGGCCTTGCTTCTTCTCCTGATCTGCGGAACGACGAGGAATAAAGAAATTATGTTTATGACAAAAATGATTAACGGCAACGTGTGATGGCACACTCAAACTATATATCAGGGAGTCAAGAAGCCGTGAACAAACACATGATATTCAGATTCCAATAGAACAGTGAGAAGATAGAATTATTATAGACTAATTGAGAAACGTTGTGTTTTAAGCAAGTGATTGCGATGGAATGTGCTGGACAGTTGCTCTATGTAAACAGACAAAATATCACATTATATAACAAAATATCACATTACATACGGTAACTAGGATGAGCACCTTGATTGTGTTGAGCACAAGTTTCCTACGTAAAGGCCATCAAATTATTAGAATACTCCCTAACTCTCTCGACAGAGGAGGATTTCATTTTATATTTTACTGAAGCCAATTCGATGGCTAACATTGGATAAAAATCCAGAAGATCACATTGCAGTTAAAATCCATTGTTGCCATCTATATAACCTACAACTTGTATATTCAAATTATAATATTTATTTTAACTTAAAAAAAATCCCCATGTCAATGGCTAAACAAGGTAATGGATGTCAAAAAGGAATTAAACATTGATCTAACCTCACTGTTTTGGAGCTTAATCCCGAATCGGGACAATTAGGACACCGGCAAACACGTAACGGTAAACACTACACTTCGACACACATAACGCGTACAGTATTTTTATATTAACAGTAGGCATATTCAAGAAGCCCTACCAATGTATACAGACTGTAATTTAACGAACTTTACAATGGCATCCCATACATTTGACCAATCGGAAACCAGGAAATTTGATATACAATATTGTCCGATTGCGGTACCACTACGATCATACGCAAATTTATGGTAGTGAAAATGTTATGGTAAGGGAACTGCGCATGCCCTTCAAAAAGGAAAGCATGATGATTATCAATAATATTATATTTATTTCCACATTCATAAGGCGATTGATTATTCATATAAATGTGTTAAAGTACTACTTACATTTTCCCTTTTAATAAATTAATGATTACCCTAAATTTTATACTCTTCGTTATACTTTAATATTATCAATACCATCACTATTACCAAAACCATCACACCACCTCCACCAAGACCACAAACACCAACACCTACACCTTTACCTTCTTCATATCAACGTTACCGTTAACATTAATTAAAATTAATTTTATCATCACTATCATTATCATCATTAATTAGACCACAAACACAACACCTACACATTTACCTTCTTCATATCAACGTTACCGTTAACATTAATTAAAATTAATTTTATCATCACTATCTTTATCATCATTAATTGTTAATATTATCATTGCTACTATCTTTATCGTCACCATCGGCTTCATTATCATCATCATCCTTATTATTAATCCATTTAATTATTATCACCATTACAAACAACATTTCTTTAACTTTAAACTTTTTTAATTTCATGTTTAGATCGTGAGAAACATTTTCTTGTTTTCATGGTTGTCGGGAAAGAAATTTGAAGCCAGAACAAGGGGTCTGAACATTAATCTAATATTTGGTATTTCGTCTTTTTTCTTGCTTATATGAAGCAACCTCCCTATGAGGCCAGAAGAAGGATATTATAATCATCGACACGCTCTTGGCGACGGAACTCTCAAAACTCAATGAATGCCGACAGCGGGGTGTCAACACACGGAGTTACCGACCGAGGGAAGCGTAAAATAATTATCATAGGGCAAACGATCTTAATATTTTAGCTGACATAACAGTGACCGTTTTGTCTTTAATCAGACAAGGTCATCATGTCCAGTTGCTAGCAATTTTGACTATCCGTTCCTTGACTCCTTGGTTCTCGAGGAAATATAACACACAGTCATTAGCAAACGATGAGACAGTGTTTCTAGTTTCCTGTAGAGAAGATGCTAATAACATATCAAACTACGTCACAAACTGAACCACTTGGTATTATGATATTGATATCGAGTCCATCAATGTTACAACAGACCGTCCAACCAACCAAGCCTGACCAATCAATCAACCAATCAATCGGACGATTGGTCGGTCAATCGATCGATTCAGTCGAACAGACAACCAACCAACCAACCCCTTAACAGCCAACTAAACCGCACCCAACCAATCAATCAATCAGTCAATCGATCAATCAATCGATAAACTATTTTTATGTATATATTTCCAATTTTCTTTCCTTTCTAAACTTTTGCCTAAATTGCTTATAATGTTGGAATGTATCGATGTTAGCTTAAGCTGCTTCGTGGATCTACAACAATAAATAGGACTGGGATCCTACAAATGACTGGCCTATTTGTGAGAACGATCATTGCAAATGTGTTTTATAAACATAACGAAGGTGGTCATTAATGAATATAATAATAATAATGATTAAACAAAATTATCAATAAGAAAAATTGATGATGATGATGATGATGATTTTGATGACATGTATGTAAGAGCTTATAACTTATATTGGATTCAAATTCAGTTTTTATTACGTCAAAAGGTCGGTGCCTCATGATAATTGGTTTTCACTGTTCAAAAATACAAACAAGGCCTATTTCTATATACAAGGATATGATGAGAGTGTCGTACGGATTTTTCATTGAAATAATTAAAAGAAAAATTGCACATAATCGAGTTGTCTGTTTATAATAAGGTACCTCGGTGCTCGGTGGTACTGTACCTTTGCAGGATTTCGCTTCTTGAGAAATTCAAGGTATTTTGATGAAACTGATTGACTGACTGACTGACTGATTGATTGATTGATTGATTGATTGATTGATTGGCAATACTATATATAGGCTACTACCGGTACTTATTTACAGAACTTAGGTTAAGATCTTGGTCAATTCAATCAATAGGCATTTGAATTCCCACGATTGTGTGAAATTGGCAGATTTCTGAATTGGAAAATAACAGGCAACATTATGATGTGAATGCCAGTCTTGGCTTATTGCCTTATATGGTGTTGCTATCCAAGTACCGTACTGTACTGTGTAGTCGTTAGTACTCGCGATATAAGTAATAATTCACAAGGTCAGAGGCCGTGTGATACATTTTACTAAATGTTCCCAGTGTTACTAAAGATGTGAAATTCATAGAAAACCGTCGAAGATGCCTCATTTGCACAAGAGAAAATATCGATTCATTGAAAGAGACGATCTTACAACGGATGGTGATCTGTCTGCTGTATCGCGATTGATGGGATGAAAGTCGAGTTCATTTCATTAGCAATTTTGTTTTGATGACCGCATCGGCAATTAAAATAACAGTCGGTAGAGTGGAACCAAAATTGATAAGAATGGAGATATGAAAATAACATCCCCTAACCAAAGCCCATCCCAGCCTTCACTGCATAATGCTGAATATAAGTACGGAGGTCTTTATAATTATTAAAAGTGGTTAGTTTAGAAACCTTTTTATTTTCATGTAAATATGTAGGACGTCTGAATACATCGCTTTGACAATTCATCATGTGGATGCAATGCGCATGTCGATACTTTACTGTAGCCAGTGCTAGTATGAGCTAGTGCGTTAACAGAGCGAGACTAAATCTGACAGCAGGCGTATGATTGAGATGACATGTTAGGGGTAGGCCTAGATTCCTTAACGCGGAGAATAACATTAGTTTGAGTAGTTTTAGTCGTTTGAGGAGCTTATGTAAACTAAACATCTATAAAAGCGGTTATAAAAAAGCGGTAGTGAAAACAAGACATTGATTTGATCAGACTAGGGGATATCTCTCTCTCTCTCTCTCTCTACAGATGCATCTTAATTCTTAACTAGTTTAACTGTGGTACAAATCAAAACACCTTGTTGAATCAAGAATATTATTATTAGTGCAACATCCACAAAGTAAGCTGTGACGTCACGTCTATAACTGTCTCATATTTTTTTTTCTTTAATCAGTCTACAAGGTCCCTAGACAAGGGTCAGACCAGTAAATTGTAAATAGAATCGAATAACCAGTTATACACACTGGAAATCCATATTATTCACCGCCATAAAAAGCAGGAGGAAAAGCTGAAATAGATTAACAATAATAATAGAATAATATTAATATTAATTTACAACCATAACACCAATAAATTTAACATAATATTATCAATAGTATACCTCTATGGTATAATAACGATTGTTAGGTTAAGTATCATAGTTCCCTTTACTGGTAATGCATGAGAGGAAATGGATAGGAAAATTATCCCGTATAACCATACTTTGCAATAAACTAGAATACTGCAAAAGAATTTTCTCAGTAAAGAAAGCATCTACTAAATCAACGAAACTCGAGTGTTTCGGTCTGTATTTTGATAGGAAGAATTTGATAATTATAAATGAGCAATTTATGGCTTTTCGAAATATAAAACCACACAGTTACAGTATCAGGCCTATTATCGAAGGCCCAGCACCAATGGGATTGTTGCTGTAGAAAGGGTTCTTTCAGGTCCAAGACATATCAACTAATGGTAGTGAGTTGTTAATTTCAGATTATATTTGGTAAGACACGTTTCATACGTATGACACTGACGACGTGGTGCGCGCCCACGAGCAAGTTAGCGTCCTATTTCCATGCATTTTTGGTTTGTGATATATGATATTTTATAGGCCTAACTCTCAATTTTTTTTCTACATTAGGTTTTTTTTTTCACACACAAAATAACATTCACATAAATAATGAACAGTGTTCTTTTTAGAACAATACAATTCACTTAAGAATTATAGTTGCTTAAACAAAATTCAAAATGAGAATTATTGATATTTCATTATTATAAATGTCAAAACAATAGGAAAAAACTTGTGGATGGAGGCCAGTTAAGTTCGAGGAACTTTAAGTTTCATTTCACTTTTATTGCCAAATTCCAAATGCAAATACAAAATGAGTTAAAGAAGAAAAAAAAATAAAGTAACAGTATATAAGTACAACAATAATTTATCTATAGGATGGACATAATAATAAGAAAAATAACATGTTACGATCGAAATTTAAAATTTAAAAAAAAAG